GTGGGCGCCCCCGCGGCGTCCCCCGACGGGGCTCTGCCTGACTTGGAAAAGTGTTTGACGATGTTGTTATTATATTATTATTATTACTACTATTACTAGAAGGGGCCCATTTTAAAGGACTGTGGCTCCTGTTGTGACAGGACATCATTTCCTAGGTCATGAGACCCCCGCTGTTTCTGTGAACACTAGATGTTTGCATCCGCGCATCACTNTCCACAGTGTAGACTGGAAGCCGGTCCCCCAGACAGGGGCCAGATAATAAATATTTAGAGGCTCTACAGGCCTCTGTGGCAACTACTTAATTCTGCCACTGAAGCTTGAAAGCAGCCAGAGACAACAGGTAAATAAATGGGCCCGGCTGTGTTCCAATAAAACTTTATTTATAAAAACAATCTGGGGGCCAGATTTGGCCATAGGCTGTAGTTCGTCAAACCTACTCCAGATCTATCTTCTTGATCTCTCCTGAATGTGAGCTCAAGCTTCAGCCAGCATTCAGCACAGAGACCCTCTAGCTTTGCGACTTGTTTGGGGTACACGGACCCTCGTCTCGCCCCCGTGTTCTGTGCTGAAGAGTGACGGCGAAGGGCTTGCCCAGCCCGGCCCCTGAGCACATGGCCAGTTCCTTGTTTCCCTCACAGGCCGTGAGAACGAGGCAGAGGAGTGTTGGTTCTGTGATGCTCTCGAGGCCATCGCCTTTTCATAGTAAATTCCCCTTTTTCCCCCAAACCTGTCATCCGGTCTTAGTGCGCAGCCTGAGTCCTCACAAGCCTCTGGCAGGGCGTGGCTGTTTTTAAAGGAGGTGCTTTCACATGGCCTGGGACCAGCGCAGAGCCCCGGGGCCCCTGTCAGCGCCTGACTGTGCCGGGACGTTCGCATCCGCGCCCGAGGGACGGGACAGTTGAAGGATGCTCGTCCCAGCTCCAGGGCCTGCTGTCCCGTTTGCATGGTCAGCCTCCGGGTCCGATTAGGACAGTCCCCTGAGTTTATCTCTCCTTGTCACTGTTCGCATGGACAGAGTTTACTGGTTCCTAGTGGCCGGGGGCTCGCAGTCGCCAGCATCCCATCTAGGGGGTAGAGGCCCCTCGTGGGCCCCAGTGTCTGTGGCAGCAGGGATCCAGCTTAGCGCTCCTGCGGCCACAGAGAGGGTGCACTTGTGTGGGCACACACACTTCAAGTCTGAGCGGGACTCGGGGTGCAGAGGAAAGAACCACAGAAGCACGAGCCGTCACCCCCAATCAGGAGGCTGGCTCCAGTTTCACCGATGAGGAGGCGTGAGCCCCGTGCACGCTCCCTTCTGCGCAGCCGCCGTGGCCTTGAGGGGCTCCTCTGCCCCCCAGGCCCTGTCGTCCCTCCTGAGGGAGAGGCACGGGGACCATGCCCCCAAAGCCCCACTGCTCGCTCAGGGCGGCAGCCCCAGGACAGTGCATCCCGTGGCTTCGCAGTGGCACCTCTTAGCGTGGGCACGGACGGGTGTTACGTCCCTTCCTGAGGGGAAATAAATGCTGCCGTGTGGCACATGTCACGTCCGCTTAAGTGGAGGGACTTAACCAGCCCCGACGGCGGGTCTGGGGGGGCCTGGAGTGCCCGTCAGACCCCCGCTCACTCTGCCTCTCGGCTTTGACCAGAGACCTTTGATCACCTGAGAACAGCAAGGGGTGGGGTCATTTTTGTGGCTGTGACGGGACCCCAGGCCCCCTGGGCCTCTGGGGGCCACACCCTATTTTCTCTATTTCACTGGCTCCCAGCGACTCCTTTCTGGTCCTAATTTCCCCCCAGCTGTGGCACCAGATTCGTTTAGGAAAAAACCATGAATCGGCACATTAACTCGCGGCTCCCGGTGGCCTCCTTGTTGGCACCAGGTGCTCAGCACCCTCGGCGTCTGCATCGGCGAGCCGTGCGGGTGACGCGGCCGGCGCGGGAGCCGGGCATCTCGGAGCCCGCGGGGCCTCCGTGGGGGGTCTTGGTCCGCGACCTTGCCGGCCCCCGAGTCACAGCCTCCCGTTAGGACGGGGTCCCTGCCAGCTGTCCCTGGTTTGCGACGCCCAGCAGCTGGATGGGAGGCGGGGGCCTGGGCGCGGTCTCGCCTCACCCGTGGTGCTCTCTTGTTCCCCCCCCCCAGAAGCACCGGAATATTCCAGAAGAGTCTACCAACAAATGGAAGCAGAGGGTTAAGACAGCCATGGCGGGGGTGAAATTGGTACCTTTCTGTGTCGGGGCCGTGCGAGTCTGACTGTCTGTGAGGACCAATGTCCGTTGCGTCCCCCC